CGTTCTACGCATGCACGAACGGCCTGCATCGGGCGGTTACTAGGACTTTTTGCAACGCAGAGAGTGTCACTCTCGTATGGTGCCACATCATGTAGTATAGTCATCGTGGTCAGATTGATGATGGTCCCATATTCTCGTATGGTGCCCCATCAAGTTGATCCCTCATGTCACGTGGACGGTCCATTCTCAGGTCCGCTCGCCGACTACACGTGTATCTTTGGATTGAATGCCATGATCCCTCGCATCGCATCAGTCGCGTGCTCTCATGTTCATCGGATTGAATCGTAGTATACACAGCGGTGCCTAAAGCACTTTATCCACCCCTAACCAAAGTCATCTTCAGAACCCTTTTATCAATCGTAACCAAGTCACATCCAGAACCAAACGCTTGCTCCTGATGCACGTTCCCTGATTCTTCCCTTCCGCTCCCAAGCTGGCCCACATTTCCTCTAATTGCTACTATTCGTACTAAGGTGAGTGACTCACTCCAAGTTCGGAATTTCCGCAGCTTCAAGACCCGTTTCCCCGCAGGTACAACGAGTACGTTCAGTGAATTCAAACACTCAACTCGCCCAGTGACAGTACGTTCAGCGACCATACGGTGACATCCAGTGACCTCCTGACAGCTGGCATCATGCAGTGACATGGCATGATCTTGTGGCATCCAGTAACCTTCTGACGTCCAGTGACCTCTGTGACATTCAGCCTGGACCTCCTTTGAACTCCTCCGGCGACATCCACTGACCTCCTGTGACATTCAGAGACATCCAAGGACCTCCCGTGACGAATCAATCCTCCTGAGATTTCAGTGACCTCCTGAGCTGAGACTCCCTGTGTTTCCTGTCACAGGCAGTGACTTCCTGTGACATACAGGACCTCTGATTCAGGAACTCCTATCAAATGCAGCGACATTCAGTGACCTCTTGAGATTCCAGTGACCTCCGGTGGCCTTATGAGACATTCAGTGACCTCCTGGGACCTCCTGGGACCTCCTGTGACCTCCTGTGACTGTGAATTCCAAGACATTCTTGAAACCCATTGACTTCCTGTGACTTCTAGCAACATCCAGTAACATCCTGCGACATCCAGTAACATCCTGTGACATCCAGTAACATCCTGTGACATCCTGGTGCCTGCTGCCACAGGAGCAGAGAGATGAACGGTCATGATGGAGTTCAACCATCATTCTATCATCATAATCCGCAGCGTCACCAGCAGCAGCAGCAGCAGCAGCAGCAGCAGCAGCAGCAACAGCAACAGCAATTGCAGCAACAGCAACAGGATCAGTGGCAACAGCAAAAGCAGCACCAGCACCACCAGCAGCACCAGAACCAGCAGCACCAGAACCACCACCAGCGCTACCAGCAGCAGAAGCAGCAACAGCAGCAGCTGCAGCAGCAACAGGAACACTGGCGAGGGCAATAGCAGCACCAGCAGCAACAGCAACAGCAGCAGCACCACCACCACCAGCAACAGGAGCACTGGCAACAGCAACAGAGGCAACTGCACCAGCAGCAGCAGCAACAGGAACACTGGCGAGGGCAACAGCAGCACCAGCAGCAACAGCAGCAGCACCACAACCAGTGGCAGCAACAGGAGCACTGGCAACAGCAACAGAGGCAACTGCACCAGCAGCACCAGCAGCAACAGTCATGGCATCAGCAGCAGCAGCAGCAGCAGCAATGCATGCCGTCAACTCTTCTGTGCATTGAGAAGCTTGAAGGCCAACGGACAGCATGCACTCCTGGTGTACCTACTCCTAGTACCGCTGATGTCACCACTGGCGTCACTGATGTCTCCACTGGCGCCACGGACGTACGCACTGATTTTACTGCTGCAACAGTTGCGCACATCCCTGCGGTTACCACATTCACACTTGCGGTAACTGCATGCACCTCGAATGCACCTTCATGCGGCTACTGTGAAGCAGCCTATACAGCTAATCTAACTGCTAAGCCTTCTGGGCTGCCAGCAGGGCTTCATTCCCTTTCTGCTGCGCCTGCAGGTGACTCGGGTGTTACCAGCAGTGGCGATGGTGTTACCGCTATTGAAGCTGATGTTATTCCTGGCCATGAGCTTACCACTCCCCCTTGGGGTTTCGCCCCTTGTGCTATTTCTGATACCCGCACGCTTGCCACGCATGAACCAGTTTTTCCAAGCGAGGCTTGGATTGGTCTACCAAAAAATGTTGTTGGCACGTCAGCACCCAAATGTGCTGATGTGTCAGCATGTGGTGGTGTTGCCACGTCAGCATGTGAAACCACAGCCTTTCAGCAGAAGACAGCGTGGAAGCAGATGTCGAGCGTGGAACTCAGGGATTGTCGTCTACAGCACATGTCCCACTCCCAGCAGTTTTCAAAGCGCTATCAGCCGGAGCAGCAGCTTCGGAAAACTGTTTCGGCCGAAGCAGCAGGTCCCATGGGGGATGGTGGGGCCAGCAGCAAGAGCTTTGAGAGCAGCAGCAGCAGGAGCTGCACCCACAGTAACAGCGGTGATGCTA